GAAGGGGCACCCGCACAAGAGAGAGTCCATCACTTGCATCTATGTGGCACTCCAAGTATGGGTTGGTTTGAGTCTTGAGCAAGACGTCGCATCTTGTCAACAGAGATGGACCGCCTCTTTGATCTCAGGCAGATCGTGTTCTGATCCACGCTTTTGAACGGTTTTGACATCAGGTTTGAGCTTGGTCGAGCTTTGATGGACATCATCTCGAACCGGAGGCGGAGGCGAATCAACGTTGATAGGCAACAACAGCTGTCTAAAAATTTGGTGCCGCAGATGGAGGACTTCTGAAAACTGCGCACTTGATCTCTCTGCCTGAACATCCAGTCACTCGTCTGTTGTCAGCTTTTGTTCGACGTGGCGTCGGACAGCTTAAAATCTTTCCTGGCCGATTGATCTGGTATGGTATCTCGTAGACTATCTCAGCTGGCAATGCAGAACATGTGTGCGGAAATGCTCCATCGCATGGAGAAGAAACGACACAGCGAAGACGAGAAAGATGCGGTGGCTTTGGTGTGGAACTTGTTATTTCGGCGCAAACGCGTGCAACGATTTTTGTGCCCACCCATGTCCACTTGGTCCATTGTGCATGAACTTGGCATTTGTGACCTGGTTTGAGCTGCATGCCAGAAGTGTTTTGGCAGTGACCCTCAAAACAATTTTTTTGCGTGTTGAGCCTGCGGCCGTCTTAGGTTTGAGAATCCGTTTGTGAAGAGGGCCATTGCAAACAGCTCCCGATTTTTCATGTAAGGACCGCAAGATGCTGAGCATTTTCAATCTTTGTGATGTGAAAAGTCATTTGCGTTGTGGCTCCACCGCCCATCGAAGAATCGAAGCCTAATCGAGCCCGTGTTGCAATCAATGCTATCCCTCAAATGTCATCAAATCACAATCTGGAACCGCAGGTTCTCGAACACCAGTACCATCGCCGCTACGGTAGTATTGTGACTACTGAAACCGAGAAACGAAGACAGCTAAATACTGTTCCTTAAACTGCTACTCTTGCTTCTCATCTTGGTTTTCCTCCTCCTCCTCCTCCGCCTCGTCCTGCTCCGCTAGCTGCGACGAATACTATCAACGCCAATGAAGACAATGATGCCCGCTGCCACCAGTGCTACTGCTACATCTATCCCAGCACTTGCACAGACGCCAATGCCGCCATTATTATCGTCATTCTGCACTGCGACTCAGATAATCAGAGCTTGTATAGGTTTGAGTAGAGGATGCTATGATGTCGCTGTATTGCTCTGCACCGGAAGTGTTGAAGACACCCAACCTTCGGCCTCTCCGCCGGGTTCAAGTCTTGCCGGCAGTCGATAGAAACTGCTTGTCTCTTGGGCCTCTGCTGTCCTGGCACGCTTGTTTTCGGACTGGCTTCCCCCTTTCGGAGGAGCACCAGAGGCCCGACCTTCAACCCTCAACTCCTGATTCAAGCCCTATATAAGCATGAGCCCTGAAGCCCTAACTCCCTGTGCCTTTTCTCCATGGATCTTTGGAGCATCCAAACATGCAGACTTTCGGGAGCTTCGTGGTGTTGAAGGTTCGGATATTTCGGCCTGAAGGATTTGTAGTTTGGAGTTTGGCCTTGATCAACCCAATCGTAAGATCCTATCAACCAATTCGTGCCATTTTTGGGGCCGATGTAAAGCTCCATGCCGCGATTGTTTGGCCTTGTCGGACTTGCATGAACTGTTGAAGGTGACAGGCATGTTTGCCCATTGTGCGACACCGGGTAGGGTAAATTCGGACAAGTCTTGGATTGCATCACCAGGGTTGATGTTCCCGACCCGAAAGCACACGAAAGCAAAGGGATATTGCTTTCAAACGCTTAAGCTTTCAGTGGCACCCGCCATAGGTTCTGTCATTGGGGCGTAGCTTTACGGTTTCCGCCTTGCCAGGTCTCGCAGTAAGCCTGGGATCATGTTGTTTGCACGTGTAAGGGTTTCGAAGCTATTAACACCCTAGCCCCTAAAATTCTAATCTAGGAGTCTGAAATAGTTTCCAACAACTTTCCTTAAGTTCTTCACTGTAGTTGTATGTAGGGTTACAAAACCCATGTTACCAAGCCCTAAACCCTAAACCCTAAGTCCTAAACCCTAAACCCTAAACTCTAAACTCTAAACCCTAAACCCAAGTTACTAAGCCCTATATATACGACCCTCGGGAGCAGGGCTGAGTCCGGACAGTTACACCCCCGGGATGAGGAAGCTGCCGGTGTATGTAGGGTTTCGGGGTTTTTAAGGATTTTAGGGGTTTTAGGGGTTTTAGGGGTTTTAGGGGTTTTAGGAGTTTAGGGTTGAGGGGATTTTAGGGGTTTTAGGGTTGAGGGGGTTAGGGTTTGGGGTTGAGATTTGGGTTTATGGGCGGTGTCTCGGGGGGTTGCTTGGGGCAGGGGGTGTAGGTGCAGTGCTTCAAGGCATTTTCGGGAAAGAATCTGGTTTGGAGGCAGTAAACCCTAAACTGTAATCCCGAACCCGTTCCATGGCTATTCGAGCTCAGACACGAATCCCGAAACACAGCCATGCTGTCGGATGATCTCCTGACCGTCGCGCCCGAGACCCCTGCGTGGCGCAAGGTGGGCCATGTTTGAGTGATGTACAGCTAATTGCCCCTTAAAGCCTTACCAAGCCGAAATCCGATCGTTAGAGCTCATACATATCATATATATATATACACATGCATGTATGTATGTATGTATGTATGTATGTATGTATGCTTGTTTGTATGTATGCATGCTTGTTTTTATGTATGTATGTATGTATGTATGTATGTATGTATGTATGTATGTGTGTGTGTGCATGTATATATATAATATTTATATATTGTTTTGCTCTTTTGCTATGTTAAGCTATATTACAATCGATTTAATTCATCGTGTTGTAACATGGCATATCCTAGTACTTTTTGTTTCTTGCAATATTATGGTACATTATTGCGTGTTGCAGTATGATGTAGCTTGCTATAGTTCGTCATGGTATATGACCGTATGATATAGTTCATTGGTGTACATTAAAGTATTTTACAGTATGTTATTTCATGTTATGTTATGTTATGCCATGCCATGTTGAGGTCTTCTTTATTCCAATATTCCTTCAATATTCCTTCTGTATCAGACTTTGCTATACTATAATCACTATGTTGCATTCTATCTTGTTTTCGGTTATTTTCGCTTGTATTATACTGTTGTTCATACTGGTGTTCATACTGGTATATCATAGTGTAGTATATCTTAATCATTTTGTTATGTTTAAATGCATGAATACATATGGATATATATATATATGTATGTACATGTATGTATATATATATATACATACATACGTATATATATATATATGAGTATATATACATACGCATATTTGTGTACACCTACTCTCCATTTGTAACCTTAGTTACTTAAGTATGGATATCGTTTTAACATTTATCTATACATCTATCGATCTGTTTATCTACCTACCTACCTACCTACCTATCTATCTATCTATTTATCTATCTGTTTATCTATCTAGCTATCTATCCATCTATCTATCCATCTGTCTACATCTATGTACATATTTATATATATGTTTGTATGTATATGTGTATATATATATATACACATGTGTACGTACACATAGACACATGCACATATATATATACATATGTGTAATTAATATACACACAAGCCACAGCACCTGTAGACTGCAAATCCGGTACCCTCGGCCCGAACTTCTCCTGACCGCATAACTTCATGTGAACGTGATTGTTGGTTTTCACTAAACCCTAAACCCTGCATCTTAGACCCTGGATCCTAAAACCCTTAAGTCCTGTAACCCTAAAGCCCTAGAGCCTGAACGCCTTGTAACCCTAACACCCTAAACTCTACAATTGCATAAGGCTCCTAGAGCTCTAAACCCGGAAAAACAGCTCTCAACTCCTGGCCGCAGGGCCTTACCTTTGCTCAGATGGTCAAATATAGCAACCCGAAAAGAACTCCCAAAAAGGAATGTGTTGAAGGAAGCCAAGAAATGGGTGGTCTGCGTTGCTGTGTTCACTGGCCTGGCACTCGCTGCAATTCTTTACTGGCCGGCTTTCCTGGAGGCTGGGCTTGGGGTGTAGGCCGAAACGCTAAGCTCTAAGCACGAAACCCGGTAACCCTAAAACCCGAGACCGTGCAGGGTTTTCGGGTTGCCGGGTATCGGGTTTAGAGTTTAGGGTTTGATGTGAAGGCTGGGAGGTGGCAGCGATTTCGGGTTTAGACGGGATATGGGATGCTGATATTCTCAGGTCTTGAAGGATCACAGTTTAGTCAGGAAATTCAGGAATTGAATCTTCGCGTTATGGCGGGGGGGGGGGGTGTGATCATGCTTCAGCTGTAGGGCTGTGACTGGGCTTGGGTCCAACCTACATAAACTCCTCAAATGGTTCCTTTGTCGTTCATGGCAATCCTAAACCCTAAACCCCCAAACCCCTAAACCCCTAAACCCCTAAACCCTAAACCCTAAACTCCTCAAAGGGTTCCTTTATCAAGGTTCCTACAAGGGAGGGGCTTCTATATTATATACTAATTAGAAACCCTAAACCCCTATATTATATCCTAATTATAACACTAAGCCCTATATGTATATATATATATATAGAGCTTCGGTTTCGGTTTGTCGCAGCTAGTTGTTTGTTTTGGATTCCTTAGTTCGACTCTGCGAGGCTTTGGAAGTGAGGCTTCGTAAGTTAGGATTTAGGGTTGAGGGTTTAGGATTTAGGGCCTAGGGTTTAGGCTCTAGGGTTGAGGGTTTAGGATTTAGGGCCTAGGGTTTAGGATTTAGGGTTGAGGGTTTAGGGTTTAGGTGGGGAGTGCCGGGTGATAGTACACACCAAGCCGCGGCCTTTGCTTTGGGATCGCTTGCTATTTCGCTGCAAATCGCTCGCCCGCCACAAGCGCCCCGCCTTTTGCTGGTATAGTCCTTTCTATTGTCATGTCACATCGACTGCTGCGTAACCTCCCTCACACCATCACGGAGCCTTAGCAAGCCTCCTTTGAGACCGATAGTCCGATAGTCTATAACGGGACCTTTACCAATGAGCACGTTATTGCCTATGTCCCTCGTGAAAATCCTGTCGTTCTTCAGTTTAGTAGTCGGCAGAATATGGACTCTTTGTGGGCTTAGGGTTTAGGGTTTAGGGTTTAGGGGCCTCAAAGGACATCAGGGGAGGGTGCTTGTTGCTGCGGATAGGCCCCAACACCCAAGGCTTCCAGTGTTACTTGCCGGTACGCAGATCTTCTCTTAGTACCGCGAGGATCAGGCCCTACTACGTACAGTTTTTAGGTGAGGTAACCGCTAAGTATAGTCAAACCTGGAACTACTTCGACTTCGAACGTGTTGGGCTGACCATGCTACGATCCCTTTTTGCTGAAACTGTCGTCGCAAATTACAGGAAAGCAACGCAGACATCCGCAGCAGTACGAGCGTGTGAAGACAACGACCTGCCCAAGCCACAGGCCAACACGAACAATGTCACAAGAAGGCTACGAGATAGTTCCTTACTGAGCCCTTAAATGTGCCCCATGTTTAGGAGGTTGTCAACGTCATAATTTGGTATCTGTAAGTTCGTAGTTCCGGCGCTGACTGCACGCTTTTCTGATGCCAGGCCCATCATCCTTACTCAATGACTCAATGCCCCAGACCCCGAGCCTGAATTCACAAGCCTTTTCCAGACGGAACTTCTACACAACCCTTTGCAAAGAACCCTTGTTGAAACTCCCATGGAACCCTGACGGAACCCTCAAACGTAGCAGGAGGCACCGGTGGCGCCTGCGCAGATGACCAGCAACGCGGACCTTAAAGCAATCCAGAGCCTGGCATTGAAAGCAGCCCACCCCCCCTTCAAATTGAGGGTTAGGTTCAGGGTGCAAAACATCTGAAAACTAAATGTACCCACAAAGACCCGCATCCTAAAGACACTCAGCCTGAAGTGTTTTGGGAGAGGGAGACACCCTAAACCCTAAACCCTAAACCACGATTCTGAAGTCTTTTGGGGAGAGCATTGCGTTTCAGAGTGTGGGTTGCTCGATGTTGCTCGTGTTGGGCGTAGGGTGACGGGGTGGGGCATCAGAGTAACATAGAACAGTGGTCTGAAGAGTTCGTACGAGTGTGCAGTATGCTTGTGTAGCCCTCACTTGTTTCTGTTGAAATATATGCTTGTGTGTAAGAATGTACCCTAACACCCGACAGAAGCAGGAATCAAAGTCTTTGTGCTGTAGTCCAGTTTATTATGAGGCCGGTCCCTCGGCGGCACCATCAGGTATCCCTGTCTCTACGTAAGATCTCAAGCAGCTGCAAGATGTTCGAGAGCAATCCAGCAGGAATCTAGCGCAGAAGCTGCAGCTGCAAGAGGCCTCTGGCCTTGTCGTCGTCATCATCATCACCACCATCGTCTGCATCATGTTCGTCTGCATCACCGAAGCCGCCATCAACATCACCCAGACCATCAACGTCACCTGCAACAACAGTGGCATTCTCTCCGTCACCGGTATGATGATGTCCATCATTATCATTGCCAGGTAGTTTCATCAAAGTTTCATGAATCGGCACCGTGACCATGCGAGCAAGAGTAGCAGCGCGACGGACACGATCCCCAGCAGATTAAGCGTCACCACGATAGTTGTTTTGAGCATAATTACCAGTTATTTTGTGTCGCCAACATCCCTGCTGCTGCTGCTGCTGCCACCATCATCACGGAGACCGTGGTCACAGTCATCGAATACAAGAACGTCAGCATCCCCGTAGCAGCAGCAACACGAACTCACTGTAATCATTCTGGTAGTTGTCCTCGTCCCATCATCAGGATGAGGGCTGACTTATCAGCAGATATCAGCAGCATCTCGCCTTAGGGGGCAATTCCATGGCATGGCGGCGCCAAAAACGTCGACGAGCACCAAAGACCAGGTTCTCCCAACTCAAAATTTCAGGCTCTCACACTCGACCAATGCCGTCTCCTACGTATCTCCTTGGCCTATCTTGGGCTCTTCTTGGGTCTCAGAGATCCCCGCTTTTTGATTTCTCTTTCTTTCCGGAGGCTAAAACTGACGCGGAACTCCTGATGCTTCCTAAACACCCCTGGAATCCGAAAGGTTGAGTTGAAGCAGGATGGACACCTCGACCTGAACCCCAGGGACCCTCGAACCCGAAGCCTCCAGCATTACACATCGCAGCAACGCAAGTTCACGCGGCTTAGATTGACAAGAAGCTCGATTCCTCAACCAGGATACTTGCTCAGCTGTTTTTTCTGAAGTACGAGGGTCAAATATCAAGCTTCTGCGGTGAACGTGAATTTGCTGGTCAGTGAGGAAGTTGTATGACTACGTCGGGGCCGGGAAGCTGCAAGGGCCTTCTTGCATTGAAGCTGCGAAGGAGGTGGGGGCCGGAGGGTAGCTAGTGGCAAAAGCAAAGAGGTCTGACACTTGCTTCGCGATCTGTTCTTGAAGGTAGGGGCCTGTAAAGCCCCCGAGAACAGGTGGGTCTTTTTCTCGACTCAGAAAGATCGCAGATTTGGCGGTAAACCTCAACTACATTCCAAGATCTAACTGCTAGGTGCTAGGTATTATCGAAGGCGGATGCTTTCCTCGGGGCTCCTTTATATAGCTATACTCTGAAGTACCACCCGACCAAAAAACCTTAAACCCATGCTAGTCATTAAGGCCCTTCTACTACCTTGACGGGACCGAGCGGCTTGTTGCCCTAAGTAGCAGGCATTTAGGCTTCAGTGGAGGGACTTGGGTATTTTCCGATGAACACCAGGCAGGATATGAGGAGACTTGTGTGTGGATCAAGGTGATACTAGCGGTACTGTATTTAGGAGTTTTTTTTTCAGGGTTATTTTCTAGCCTCGGCTTCTTTGTTGGGGCCCCTAAATGTTTTTCAAAACTCCGCATTGCACTGTTGTGTTCAGAGGCAATGCTAGCCGCCAGTATAGACGGCTCGCTAGGAATAGTTTGCGGGTGTAGATTTGGATCCTTTTGCGATCTACTCGTCATGAGGACCCTGCTTCCCAAACCCAAACGCAAAAGTGGCCCACATCCTCTCAAGATTGCCATCGACGATGTGGTCCTCGATACCACCAGCGATGCTATGCCACACTTGTCGGGGGCACGGTTCTTCTATGGACCTAAGGCGGCATGCGGCTTTTGCTTGACGGCATTCTTCGCGCCGTTCTGATGGTTTTTGCAGTTTCCATTCCTTTTTATGTCGGTGATAACCCTAAACCCCAAACCCCAA